TTTGCAGGTCAGCATTCCCTTGCCAGGGCTCCTTTTCCATGCCTTTAGACCCTTTCCCATCAATTTTGGGCTTTTTCCTTGGGATTTGGGGCATTCCCATGGACTTTGCATGGCTTTAGGAACCTTTCCCACGGATCCTGGAATTTTCCAGCTGGGAATTCCTTACCAGGCCTCCTTTTCCATGGATTTCAGGCGCCGCTGGAGCTGCTCGTTGAGCTCCTGCTGCTCCTCCAGCTCCCGCTGGGATTTTTTCCGGGCGTTTTCCAAGCGCTCGATTTCCTCCTCGGATTCATCCACCTGGCGCTTCAGGGCCTTCACCCGCAGGCTCAGCTGGGAATTCCCAGGATTCGGGCTCGGATTTGGGATTTGGGAATTCTGGGAGGATCCTGGGCTGCAGGGGATGGCCCTGGCCTCGGGATTTTAAGGATTTTAAAGGACTTGTCAGGGATTTGGAAGGAATTCTTAAGGATTGTTGGGGGTTTTTTTTCCCATCCCAAATCATTCCAGGAATTCCTTGGGTGGGATTTTAGGGATCTTCAGGATCCAAGCTCCATTATTCCCATGGATTCCCATCCCGGGGATGGTGGGAATGTCCCCAGCCTCAGATTTTGAAGGAATTCGGAAGGAATTTTTAAGGTTCTTTGGGATCTTTCCCAGCCCAAACCATTCCAGGATTCCCCGTCGTGGCTCAGATGGGATTTCTGGGACAAACCCTGAATCCTATCCCAGGTTTTTCCATGGAATTCCAGGAATTCCAGCCCCACCTGGTCCCTGTGGCTGCTGCTGCTCTGCCGCTCCTCGTCCAGCTGCAGCGACAATTCCTTAATTTTCCGCTCCAGCTTCCGGTTGGACGAGAGCAGGACGCTCTTTTCCCTACGGAAAAACGGGAATTCCATGGATTCCCCGCCCTTTGGAGCAGCCTGACAACGGGATTTGTATGGATTTTTATGGAATTTTAAGGAATTTCAAGGATATTAAGGGATTTTTAAGAATTTTTAAGACATTTGCCAAGGAATTTTCAAGGGATTCGGGATTTGGAAAAATTTGGGAATTGAGATTTGAGATTTGGGAACTGGGATTTGGGGTTGGAAAAATTTGGGAACTGGGATTGGAAAAATTTGGGATTTGGGAAGTGGGGATCATACGGGAATTGATATTTGGGATCAGGGATTTGAAATTTGGGAAGTGGGATTGGAAAAATTTGGGAATTGGGATGGGGCACCTCTCCTCAGCCTGGAGCTGCTCCCGGAGCTCTTCCAGCTGCGATTCCAGCTGGGAATTCCGGCTGTTCCCGGAATTCCGCTGCTGCCCCTCGGAAGCGGCCAGCCGGTTCTTCAGCTCCCTGTTCTGGGAAAAATTCCCAAAAATCCCCCTGAGCCCCCGGAAATTCCTGGTTTTGCCAAGTTTCCCAATGGGGAGGAATTCCAGGAATTCTTTGCAGGATTCCAGGAGTCAGGAAGGTGGGAAAAGTGGGAATTCTGGGACTTGTCTTCAGGGAGAAGTGGGAATTCCGCACAGGAAAGTGGGAATTCCGAACAGAAAAGTGGGAATTCCGTTGGAATTCTGCAGGAAAACCGCACTGGGAGAGGGCAGAGGACCCCAGAACTGGGACTGGTAACCAAAGGAAAAGCAGGAAAAGCTGGAAAAAACCAGGAAAGAACCAGAAAAAGCGGGATAAAAAGCAGGAAAAAACTGGGAAAACTCCTTGGAATGATGACCCCATTCCCAAGGATTCTTTTCCCAGAATTCCTCATGAAATCTGGGTTCTCCCTGGGGCCATTCCCGCCAGGATTAGAGGCTAGATCCAGGGATTTTCGTGGGATTTTTCCTGAGTTTTTCCCGGGATTTCCCCAGGATTTCCCCAGGGAATTTTGGGGGAATTTTCCCGGGATTTCCCGCACCTGGCGCTCCAGGGAGGATTTGTCACATTCCAGGTCCTGGCGGCTCGAACGTTCCTGGAGCAGCTCCGCCCGCAGCTGCTCGATCTGGGAAGAAAAACGGAAAAATCCGGGAATCTCCAGGACGTTCCATGGATTTCCATCGATTTTTCCTATGATTTTCCACATACTTCCATGGATTTTTCCATGGAATTCCGTTGATTTCCACAGATTTTCCACAGATTCTCCATGGACTTTTCCATGGATTTCCGGGATTGGAGGAGGCACTGGGATTCTCTGGGAATTCTGGGAAATGTATCCCTGGGATTATTCCCGATTGGAAAAATTGGGGAAAATTTTTCATTTTATGCCACTTATGCCTCGTAATTTTGGGGGGAAAAGGAGGGAATAAAGTTTGGGAAGAGCTCAGAATACGCTGGGATTTAACCCCCAAAATTCCACCCAAGCACCAAAAATCCGGAATTCCTTTAGGAATTCTATATCCCTCTTCCCAGCCTCTTCCGATCCCCACTCCTGCCCCAACTGACAATTCCCAGCTGGAATTCCCAGCTGGATCCCTGGAGGGAGGGGTTGGAATTCTGGGAGAGTTGCGTTTCTGCCGAGAATTCCCAAAATTCCCAGGATTTTACCTGGTCCCGGCTCCGGGTCACCCTCTCGCTCAGCAGCTCCACCGAGCTCCGCTCCTCGTCCAGCTCCAATTCCAAACGTTTGGACTTTTCCTGATGGGAATTTGGCATGGAATTTTGGGGGAATTTTCTGGGAATTTTGGAAAAATTTTTTGGGGGAGAAATTTCTGGGAATCTTCCGGGACTTCTTTAGGAATTTTCCGTTATTTTTTTGGGAGGAATTTTCTGGGAGCGGCACGGGAATCTTTTTTTTCATTTCTTGGAGAGTTTTCCAGGATTTTTTTTTTCAGGAATCCCCACCTCCAGAGCTTTGGAATGCCGGGCTCGCTCCTCCTGGGATCTCTTCCCATTTTCCAGCTCCTGCTCCAGCTCCTGGAGCCTCTGGAGCAGCAGCTCCTTGTCCAGCAGGATCCGATCCCGCTCTTCCCGCTTTTCCTGGATCGTCTCCTTCAGCTGGGAAATCTGCCAGAAAAACCCCAAAATCCCCCAGATTCCCAGCTGGATTTTTCCCTCAAAATCCACAGAATTCCTGGGAAAAATCAGCTGGAATTCCCAACAAACCTCGTCCTGGAGCTTCCCAAGGTCCTGTTGGAATTTTTCCGCCTCGGTCTCACGGTCTTGGGCGATTTTTTGGGAATCCATGAGTTCCCGGCGGGATTTTTCCTGGAATTCTTCCAGTTGGGATCTCAGTGAGGCCAGGGAGCTCTGGGACTCCGCTGTCATCTGCTCCAGCTGAAAAAATGGGAATTTCGGGATGGGGAATTCTGTGGGATGGTGCCAAAAATGGGATCTGGGGGTTGGGGTGGAAATCCCAGAATTCCATGAAAAAAGCTAAAAATTCTATGGATAAAGCCCAGAATTCAACGGAAAAAAAACCCAGAATTCCATAAGAAACCCAAGAATTCCATGAAAAAAACCCAAAATGCCCTGAAAAATCCAGGGATTTTCTGGGAAAAACCCCTGGAATCTCTTCCCAAACCTCTCAAGAGGTCCCAGTCCCACAAGACGAAGATTTTGGGATGAAGAAATGCCACAATTCCATTAAAAAAAAAAAAACAAAAAAACAAAATTCCACCCAAAAATTTCCATTTTAAAAGAAACCCAGAATTCCATTTAAATGTCCTGAAATTCCATGAAAAAACTCCCAAACTTAGCAAAAAAAAACAAAAAATCCCCAAATTCCACAAAAAAACACCCAAACATTCCATTAAAAATAAAAACCAAACAAAATTCCAGGAAATAACCTAAAATTCCATTAAAAATCCCGTCATTCCGAAAATAAAAAAACCCAAATTACCCCCAAATCCCAAAAAATAAAATAACAAACAAGCCTGAAACGCCCCGCTCCGTGGAATTCCAGGGAAATCCGGGAATCTCTTCCCGCACCTCGTGGCTGAGCCGCTCCCGCCGCCGGCGCTCCTGGCCCAGCGCCGATCCCAAATCCCGCAGCTCCCGCTGGGCCCGCTCCAGGCGCGATTCCAGGGAATCCCGGCGGCGCCGCAGCTCCCGCTCCCGCTCCGCCGCCCCGGCCAGCGCCGCGCGCTCCGCCTGCGCCCGCATTCCGCTTGGCACCGGGACTCCCAGTCCCGCCAGGCTGGATCTCTGGGAATTCCCAGTCCCGCCAGGCTGGATCTCTGGGAATCACCTCTGGGAATTCCCAGTCCCGCCAGGCTGGATCTCTGGGAATTCCCAGTCCCGCCAGGCTGGATCTCTGGGAATCACCTCTGGGAATTCCCAGTCCCACCAGGCTGGATCTCTGGGAATCACCTCTGGGAATTCCCAGTCCCGCCAGGCTGGATCTCTGGGAATCACCTCTGGGAATTCCCAGTCCCTCCCCTTTGGATATTTGGGAATTCCCAGTCCCGCCAGGTTGGATCTCTGGGAATTCCCAGTCCCGCCAGTTTGGATCTTTGGGAATCATCTCTGGGAATTCCCAGTCCCGCCAGGCTGGATCTCTGGGAAT